CAAGAAAGAAGGAAGTACCTATAGGTGGTGGTGAGGTGGTGGAGGAGGACAAGCATTTCGAGTTTTGCCAGCTCACTGCCTGGACAAGAGTGCACTCCAGTCCCAAAGGGCATATATGTGTTAGGTTTAGGTGGCGTCTGCATCATCACACACGTATACGCAAACATACATACATAATTAGATCAAAAAAGAAGAAAAAATACATATATATAGATATCATACAAAATAAAGTCACGTGCCCTGATACTTGAAAGATTCACTTTACCAAAATGAAAAACGACACCTACATATCTATATATATACAACCATTGATAACTTTATTTTATCACTAGCGTTGGATATGATTCCAATAGTGTGTGTATGTATACGTATGTGTATAAAAAAGTACGGAAAAACATTCACCTCGAATCTCGATGGGTCAAATTTTTCGGGATTAGGGAAGAAATCTGCGCAGTGATGAATGCTTCTGAAGAGTGGGAGTACCTTCCACCCTTTGGGGATGAAGAAGCCTTCAAACTCAACATCTTTGACGGCTTCCCTGAATGTGAATGACAGTATGCTTGCTCTTCTTAACGTTTCTTGAATCACCTGATACAATTTTGAAAATTCAAAAAAAAAAAACAATTGAAAAAAAAGAGAGAGGACATTTTGATATTTAAATGCCAAAAACGATAATTAAAAAAATTAAAATGTTTTAAATAAATTAGCACATAAAAAAATTTATTTCAAATATTTAAATAATTTAACAATAATTTTTTATTTAAAATGTCATAATATCTTTCATTTTTACTTTTCTCAAAAATTAATGCAAAAGAGATTTTTTTTTTATTTTAATGTTTTGTCGAATGATAAAATTATGTATACCCTGGAGGTCAAAGGCATGTGCTTAGTATCATCCCACGTAAGCCTCCGATTTTCCTCAATTAATTTGCGTTGAATTCCTTCTTGTTCCCTCTGCAATGAATCACAGAAATTTGATGATTGTCGTATCATCCAAAAGGAGAAAAAAAAAAAAATCTACTAGTCCAAAATTAATCAGAGATTAATTAAGATATACCGTGACAGCTTCTAGCAGATCTCCATTATCATGCAAGTATTTGAAAACCCAAGTAAGTGCACTGGCGGTGGTGTCATGGGCGGCAAAGATAACTCCGATTATGTTATCGGCGATTTGAGAATCACTCAGCTGGTCAATCTTGTCATTATCTCCTGCGCTCAGCATGACTCCCAACAAGCCGCCTCCTTGTTTCCTACTTTCTCTTCTCTCTTTAATCAGTTTCCTTAATTTCAAGTTCAGAAGTGTTCTTGCCTGCATACATCAATAAATTATACCATCTACTATGTGTTTTGGTAATAGAGTTATCTGTACTTTAAATTAAAAGGAAGAAAACTTGATTATAATTGAGAAGAAGTTCAAATACAGTTGGAGAATATTGTTTTTGATTGATGTATACCTTCATTGCCTTGTGAAATGGAGTTCCTGGTAGATTCCAAGGCATAGAATTGTAGCCTTTCTCCAGGCGATGATACAGGCACTTGATTCCTTCCATGTCTAGGTCTTGTTTTCCTCCGAAGACTGAAATCATTGCCACATCAAAAGCATACTGGAATTTCATGCCAAGATAAGACTGGTGTTAATCAAGGCACAGCGATAACTTATAAGTACTAGCTAATTTGTTAAAAACATAGAACTTTTTTGAGATTCCTAAGATGAGAGAAAAGAATGACAAAAAAAAAGGGGGACACCTAAGCATACCCTTTTCATTTCGTGCAAAGTGTTGATGGTGGTATTGTCCCAAGCAGGTAGAATTCTTAAAACAAGATGCTCAATCTCCGAAACCAACCCTCTGATTGCTGAGGGGAGAAAGGAGGCCAGAACTAGCTTCTTCAACCGTGCATGATAAGCACCTTGGTGGAAGAATATTGCCTCTGGTCCAATCATCTTCTCCTTGCTTGGTGGGTAAGTTGGCTTGAACAGATCTGCCTGAGACACCAGAACCTCCCTTATGGCCTTGGGGCTCGTAACGAGCACACAAGGACATCCCAATATATGAGTCTTGAACACATCTCCATACCTACAAAACAAGTGGGTATATTTGTGCAGACACAACGTCAATGGACTGTGTTCAGAGTATAATGACGAAATTAAACATTTGATAATAGTATAAGGACAAAACACTACCATTAATCCATAACCCTACCTTTTCTGTCTGTTGGAAAAGAAGGAATTTGGATTCTCAGTGTATAGTTTTAGAGTTTCTCCGATGTAAGGCCAACCCATTGACCCAGGAGGAAGGCGCTTGTGGTTGCGGCTGCGCCATTGACAAAGAGCGGGCAGTAGCAGCAATAACAGCAGCAGAACCAGAGAAGAGAAGAGAATTGGTAGCATCAAAGTTAAAGAAAAAATTTGCATGGCGGAAGAAAACGGTGGAAGGAGGAAGAGAAGGAGGAGGAGACTGGTGGCGAATGGGGTGGAGAAATGAGGAGGTGGGTGGGATTTATATAGAGTACAGAAAAATTAGCCGCTGAGAATAGGGATGGTGTCACAGACGTCGCCTCGTTTCTGGGAACACACTGCCTTAACTCTTTCTTTCTCCGGTAAATAACTATTTTTTAGTACCTTTTTTTATAAGTTTTAACTTTTTATCATTTTAGTTTATTATTTATATAAATTAAAAAAAATTATTTTTATTTAAATTTTATTAATTGATTATTAATTTTATTAATTAATTATTAATATTTTGTTATAAAAAATATAAAATTTAAATTTAATTTAATTTATTAATTTCGTTAACAAAAATATTAATAACCAATTAATAAAATTAACAAAATATTATAATATAATGTTAAATAAAATTTATTTTTTTTATTATTTATAAAAGATTAATTAAAAGTATTATAATATAAAATAAAAAATTAAAACTTATAAATTTATTAAAATAAATAATTAAAAGTAAACTTTTACCTCCTTGCTGGAGCCGCCCCATCGTTCTCTTCTATTAATGTTTCCGACCCTGACCCCGACCCCCACACCACGTTTTGTTCTCTTTGTACTCTTTGTACACCTAATTCATATAAATTTTAAAATGGTTTAATAGATCATACATGCTATTTTTTCTTCTTTGGCGTATAGGAGGCCAGAAATAAAAAGCTGTCGTTAAAAGTTAGGTAATTTACAAATAATTTTATTTAATTCAAAAAACCAATCCTAGGGGCAAATTGCTCTAATGTTTATCTATTTTTTAAATTTTTTTTGTTTCAACTGTTAGAATATTTCTAAGTTAACTTAAAAAAAATAATTATTATATAATAAAAATAATTATTTTTTATTTTTTAATTTATTTTATTTATATATTATACAATTCATACGTAAAGTCTTTTATTTTCAAAAGAAAAATATGCGAGTTTGTCAACCCCAATAGTTCAACTGACAGTCCATCTCATCCTCAAGTCCGGCCCCAGGACTTTTTCCAAAGCAAACAAGTCAAAGCCCAGCCCAGCCAAATTAGAGAGATTACCAAAGCGTTCGGTGATCTGCGAAATTCCGCCAGCTGGACTTGGGCCCGTTACACGTGGCAGTATCCGAGGATCCAACGTGGATCCAAGACTCCCAGTTCCCCACATCATGTCCGTACATATCCAAGGACGAAATAAATCAGATCGAAAAGTTGTGGATTCGAATAAAAAGAATTCAATTTTATTTAAAATTTAAATTTTATAAATAGAAACAGACAAATCTCACCAGATTTAATTTTAAATTTGTTGGTGTGTAATGTAATTAGCGAATAGCCAACGTTAGTATTAAAAAAAAATAAATCAGACCAGACACGTGGGGTTTCCTCCTTAATTTTAGCTATTTCGGGCAAAGTCCCCCATTAACTTCCCACTTCCGTTTTCTCCCCCACCGTTCTGCCTCTGTCGTGTAAGAATTGGCCGTGTCGTGGCAAGCGGTGGCGCCTCCTGCGCCGCCAGTTCAAAGAAAATCGCAAACTCCCATCTGCTTACGTGAACGTAGGAGAAACTCTAGGGTAAGAAAAAAAAGAAGAAAATTACAGATTTTCATATGGTGATGAAACATGGGCGCCTGGACAAGGAACCCCTTCCCCGGATTACGTGTGAACAGAACACCTGTGTGGTGCCCAAGCCGAAACCATTGTTCACGTGG